ATATATATATAGGCGATGAGCGATATGTTCATGTGTGAAAAGCGCAAATGAAATTTTATACATTGGCTTTTCGAGTTAGCATGTTTTCAAGTGGCATTGTGACGTTCATATGTCATGTATGTAAGGGGCAGGCTTTGCCATTGCTGTGTGATAGGCGTTGAAGAAAAGCGTAAAGGAAACAGATATTTTTCTTACATCGTTATTTCACTACGAAATCTCCTCACCCTGAGCTGTTTCTTGTCCAACTGGTCAGCCGATACATTTCTTATCAGTAGTGTATAATATAGATATCTATATTATCTATCCTATCTATCTATCTATCTATGTTATACATTCCTGTTCTGATTGCCACCTTCTCGCGTAGCTCTCCATCCGGCTTGGCACTGTGTTACAGAAGGCAGCCGCCACGACAAACAAGGTCGATCCGCTGTCAGCGACATATTATATCCAGGCCTTGCCTCTCGAGTGAAACTCGAATGTACATTTTACGTGTAATTGCTTACGAATGTATGGAAATTTACCACTTGTATGCGTCAAACCAAGACGTGACGTCAGTCTCAAGACTATATTGAGCTTCGTCTTCTATTAATACCAACCCCGGCCCCCTTATTGCACTATACTGCTGACTGTTCGCGAATCAAGTGGAAAAGGGGGTAAATTTTGTCTGCCGATTAAAGTCTAATCTTGATTTTTAAACTAAGCTAATGGGTAATATAGGTTGGTAATCTAATCGTGTGTGGTTGTCTGAAGCGGTTCTCTATACAGTGAAATTATACAGTGGCTATGGTCTTATAAGTTATAGGCACAAGTTCGTAAATCCATGACATCACAAAGCCGTCAAATCGAAGACAGGATAATACGTATAATACTTATAAGTAATATCATCATTTGATCAAATATATTAACGTATATAATATATATATATTCCAGTCGACATCTTTCCCACACGAGTTGGTCAGTGGAATAACTTGTCCTTGAATGGTGTGGGTTTGTGGGTGGGGTGGGGGCGATGGATGCTGCCATGCATCACGGGCGGCGGATGGATGCTTAGCTATGCGTATAGCAGAGCAGCAGCGCAGCATCCCCAAGCGATGCCGCTGATGGATAAATCTGCCATGTTTACATTCTTCCTGCTGTACCGTACCCCGTGGTTATTGCGATTCAAGGCTGCCAGGCTACGCTTGATGCAGTCGGCGTGGCGGCTGACCCGTTGCCATGGAAGCCTCGGCCGTTAAAACCCGAGTTCCGAGCTTTTTTTTGCATTCCAGCCACAGGCTTAGGCATTTGTTGTGATCCTGTCTGCAGCCTGTCGCTGTCACACCCAGCATCTACCATGTGTTACACTGTTGAACCTTCGGGTGGATGTTATTTTTCACATTGTCAACTGAAGCCATATTTCGATTCTAGCTACTTGGCAAATCTTCGCGTAACTATGCATCGTGATTGCGTTCGCATTCCAGTCGACATGTTTTCATCACGCTATAAGCAAGCTATTATTAACACAGGTGTTTCCATTAGTCCCCGAGCTACTCGCAAAGTGTTCAATACGCGAGCGAGCCGTGCAATCTTTTAAGAACGCAATATAGCGTTGCTGCTGACGTGTGAGCACTCATATTAGAATGTTTTCTTACACAGAGGAGGAAGCGCTATGTACAAGGTCCAGACGAAAGCAACCAGTACTCCAAATATGTCGAGCTATATATCGTCAATGACAAGAGAGAGGTATATATTATATCTGTTTGCTATCATGAACAGCATTTATTGTTCAATCTTGATTTGATAACAAACATGTAAATCTTATACTGTTGATGGCAAAACAGGCTGTAATCTGATATCAAATAAACTACGTCCATAAGATAGATACAGATGAATGTATATATATATATCAAGAGTACATAATAGAGACTATACTCTCTATTATGTACTCTTGATATATATATATATATATATATAGATGTGTATATATAAATATATGTATCAGGGCCGTAGCTAACCCATTTTGCCCACGCACGGGTTGTGTTTTAGACAGGTGACGGTAGACAATTGCCCCCCGCCCCCCGCTCCGCTAACTATGGGGCAACAACTATACCCCCAGTATATATGTATGAATCTCTAGCAACACCGATCTGTGATGCAATGCTTGTACAAATTTGCATTACGTAGAGCAGAAAATTTTATGAATGTTGCAATGCATGTGTTAGTAATTATGGGGAAGTTAATATGGCCAGTAATATGGCGTGCATTCTTAGAAAGGGATTCAATTTGTCGTTGGCATTTTAATTGCATCTAGTCTCACTACATGGATGATATAAATGGCATGATGATAGTGATTTATTAGCTTCATAAGTGAAGTAGATGCTGGTGGTTACTAGAAGGTTCCTGCAAATGCAATCGCATTGAATTGTGTTCTCATTATTTAGTGACGCAATGTTATTAGCCGTAGTAATTTGTCTATTCCTAGTACGCTATATTATCATATACCGGATGCCATTACCCATCTATTTATTTCCCACAGTTTGAATCCTGGGACAGAGATTTGAAAAAGGTCATCACACGGTCAAAAGAAATAGCGAATGTAGTCAATGCTGTAAGTATTTCCATGTTAATGTCGTCACGTATTCCACGGCTTATAACGTGAAGTAGTAACCTGACGTAAGTGAGTAACTCGGGCGTACAACAACAACTAGACTGCCATCCTGCCCTGCTGACCTACAGCATCCTGAAGCTGCTGGTAAACCATAACAGAATGACGATACAGCAGTGGGTTCAGCTTGGTTGCCACTGAGGTAGATGTATTCAGCTAATCAGCTCGCATCCTTCGTATGGCTTCAGCAAAACCTTAACCTACCTAACACGTTGTCGGTCATGCCCACAAACAAGCGTGTTCGCAACTCGTTTCCAGCTGCAACATCTGCTCCGGATCCAACTAGCCGGCCCCAACTCGCTTGCAAAATAATACCATAAGGACGCGCTTTGGTGCTTTATGCTGCTTTACACGTGTGCCAATCCAGCGAAGAGGTTGTGCTGTGTCTATAGCAGACAGACGCACAGGGCTGCTTCTGTGTGTTGGCAGTGCTATGCCGACTAGTGTCATTGACACATCCCAACAGTCCTCCTCGGTTGGGATGGTAACCACTCCACCCCACTGATGCTGCCTAGTTTAGCCTAGTAGCTTGTGGCATTGGGAAACCGAAGTGAGAGCGATGTATAGGAAATTGGAGGCGACGGTGTGAATGAGTTGCATGTGTGTGAAAAGCGTACATAGTTGCGCAGCCACACGGTGGCAACTTTATACGATAATTGATTTGGGTGGGGGGGGGTAGTCTTTGGAGAGGTATATGTAAGTTTGACCGGTGTGAAGGGCCTTGTGAGGAAAGATAACTACGTTGCTTCGCGTTAACCCAGAAAGTCTATAGCGCCTCACAGTCTCCCCTTTATTTTCCTCGTTCGCACACTGATGTGCAAAGCTGCTACAGTATGCTGCAAGCTCATGTTTCCCGAGCACTCCCTGCCCGTCTGATTTATTCAATGTGGATCATAACTCGGCGGATGAATTTGAACGACATATGCAATATTAATGTCATCTGCAGAACATCCTTTTTACTATAGCATTATTTGACTATGGCAGTGTCGCTGGCCTAATAATCCAGCGATGCGCGCACATATCCACTGTTGCTGTTGTTAGAAATGTCTGTATGCATACACATATGCCCTACTTTATATATATATATATATATATATATATATATGTATATATATATATATATATATATATATTATATACCATTATATACCATTATGCCAGTGTATACCCTATTGCCTATGCTCGGTACTATAGTAACAGTCTAGAAATGCAATAAACGTTAATTTGTTAGCTGCCACAAGTATGTAGGTCAGAGTCAGCACCTAATTCACACAAATGGTCACCTATATACTACTACATATATATATATATATATATATATTATGATATATTATAATTACAGGTTTACACATTTATTATTTATAACGGTTAAAAAACCTGTTTGCTGCTATGCGCAGGTGTGTGGTGGAAGGTGAAAACACAGCACAGTAAACTGTACCACATAATTGTGTCACTTTGAAGTAGTAGCAGTGTTGTTTATTGTAAAGCGAAATCCGTTTTTTGCAAGCATAATGAAATAGAAATGCGCTTTCAGTGGGTGCATGACACGTACTTCTATCCCACCAGATTCAGCTAAATACTAGTCATTGTCAACAGGTGCATTTAGCAGTAAGCATTATCCACAATTGATTAATTTTTACAGGGTTTGACCCTAACGCTAGTTCGTTAGTCTGTAACTAGTAAAAAATAAGAAGGACTAGTAAATGCCCCATAGCCGTTAGTCCTGCGGACTAGTTATTTTCCCCGTCCCTCCCCGTCCCAATTTCCCATCCTCCCATCGATTTTACTATAGCCTCCGGCGGCAGCTTCTCTCAACCAAGATCCAAAGAGCTATATATATAACTCATTGCCATCAAAAAGTTTCCCCTGTTAGACGCGCTAGTACAAGTAGACGCTAGCACGCTCTGCACGATAGACCCTATGACAGTACAAACATTGTTAAACAATGGGGGCCACGAACCAGTCTACTAATCGATCGTTTGACAGTAGCTGTTGACATAGAACAAACGGTCTGATTGTATAAATGACACAACTAATCAGATATACGCTTTTATAGCGAGGTATTTACATCGCAACCACATCGCATGAGTGTTTTGTTTTACTTGAACAGTTGAAGCAGTCGATACAAATAGATATCTAGACTATAGTAGTGATACAAGTAGTGAAGCATAGTAAACGTAAGTAACGTAAGTCGCAGGAGGAGAAATTAGATGGCCAGCGTGTCTATGATAAGACCAAAAGGATGCGTACGTTCCAGCCAGCGTGGAAATCGTCATACATATAAACGCTGATGGCCACACAGGTTGACATAAAGAATACAATCAAAGAACTAGAAACAAAGGTGGACCTCCTCCAAAACAATTCGGCATCTGCAACTGAAATCATCAGAGAACTCAAGGAACGCGAGAGACGCCAAACTTCACTGATGCTCTTTAATATCCCGGAGAGTGATGCAATGGTACCCGCAGACAAGGTCAGCCACAATACCATGGAGCTTAACAAATTCATCACAGATTATAATCTACAGGTTGAGGTTACAAACGTCAAACAAATAATTAGGGTCGGCCCGGTCGGGGCAAAAAACGAGGATGGGGTCTTTCGGCCCATGAAAGCGACCTTCGAGGAGAAGGGGGATCCCTCCACACTAATGCAGGCACTAAAGAAACTAGACATTTCAACAAAAAAGAAGTTGACGATTCACTTGGCCCCAGACCTCCCCCCAATGCAACGCGAAGAGGTAAAAATTCTAAGAGCTATGAGAACTCGACGACAGGCAGAATTGGAAAAAACCGGCATCAAAAATTTCAAGTGGATCATACTCAGAGATACCTTGAGAAAAGTGAGAATCCCCCAGGAAAATCAATAAGACCACACACTTACGAAAAAATTGCAAATTTGCAAATTGATAAAACTAGGCATAATAAAAAAATCAGGGATTGGAACGTTAGAACTTCACATGGCTTAAAGTATTTCTACAGCAACATTGATACGCTAGGTCTCCAACAAAAAATCTGAAATTCTTGCCATGGTTGATGTAACTTCTCCTGATATTATAGGTCTGACCGAAATAAATTCTAAAAATACAGATGACAACTCGTTAGCGCTCACTGAGCTAGTAATCCCAGGATACGAATGCCGGCCTGATAACATTGGTAACCCGGGCAGAGGTGTAGTCATGTGGACGAAATGCAGTCTGGACGTTACACAGATCGATGGTCCAATCAAGGTGCACGACAGCATCCTATGCGAAATCCGTCTCCACAAGAAGGTCAAGCTCTTGGTAGGCTGCGTATACCGCTCCCCTAACAGCAGCACCGAGCATAATGACAGTCTGTCAGCTAATCAAGTTAATCAAATTAAGTGGGCCTCTTTCCTAAACTACTCGCATATGGTCCTGGCTGGTGACTTCAATTTTCGAGAAATTTGTTGGAACTCTAACAGATGTAGAGCCAGTGAAAATCATCCAGCTTCGAAATTTTATAAGGTAATAAATGACCTGTACCTAACACAACATGTAGATCGAGCTACACACTACAGACCTGGTCAAACACCTACACAAATAGATCTAGTAATATCAAATGAACCCAACATGATTAATGACATCGACTTCTCTGCACCCATCGGTCGTAGTCACCATGCATCACTGCTCATTAACATCAACTGCTACGTTGAGTTTAACCGACAGTCGCCACGAAAAGTAATCAAATACCATAATGGAGATTACGATGGCTTCAGGCAGTTTGTACAACAACATGTGTGGAAATTTAACCCACAGAGCTCCCCACTCGCCGATATCTACTATGAACTTACCGAAGTATTAAACGAAGGTAGTATTAAATTCATTCCGACCATAACAGTGAAGGACGAATACAAGAAGAGAGCCGTGTGGAGGAGTAAAGAAACAGATATACTGTCCAAATCAAAAAATCGAGCCTTCAGACATCTCGTAAAAACTGGGGAAGGTGTAGAAGAATACTATAAACTACGCAACCAATCAAGTTCCGCTAATAGATCTGCCGAGAGGACCTTCGAGAAAAAAGTTGCGATGGAATACAAATCCAATCCTAAAAACTTCTTCAAACTGGCGAACAGCAAGATGAAAGCAAAAAATACAATACCGGAACTGAAAACTAAAGACAAAAATGCCATCACTGACCTAGAAATACTAGTTAGAAATACTCAGTTACTAAATTAATACTTCGGTAGCGTATTTACTATGGAGGATACTTCAAATATGCCAGTAATTAATCAACATGACAAGACAGCCCCCGATGTCCACATAGATGTTAACGATGTGGCCAAAAGACTAAAAGCACTAGATGCAAACAAATCACCAGGTCCAGATAACATCCATCCTCGCATCCTAAAGGAGCTAGCAGAGGTGATTGCCCCAGTGGTCACAGTAATATTTAAGAGATCACTCGAATCGGGCGAAGTCCCTCATATGTGGCATATGGCACACGTGACGCCAATATTTAAGAAAGGGAGCAAAAAGCTGCCAGAAAATTACAGGCCGGTGAGCCTGACCTGCATTCTATGCAAACTTTTGGAAGGGATGGTCGCCGAAGTCATCATTAATCATATGACTGCAGAGAACCTACTCGCAGCGGAGCAATACGGGTTCAGAAAAAGCCGATCATGCAGCTCTCAGATGATGGTTGTTCTGGAAGAATGGACTGACTCATTGGAGAAGAGAGAGCCCATAGATATAGTATACTTCGACTTTCAGAAAGCGTTTGACAAGGTGCCACACGGACACCTAACTAGTAAGTTATAATCCCTGGGGATCAGAGGTAACACACTTTGCTGGATTAAAAAATACCTTAGCAACAGAGAACAAAGAGTGGTGATTAATGGCGAGTTTTCCACACCAATTACAGTAACAAGTGGCGTGCCTCAAGGCAGTGCACTTGGCCCGGCATTATTCATTTTATTCATAAATG